TATAGGACGATCAAGCGGTTTTTAGGCGGTTGATCACAAAGAGATCGTCTATGAAGTATAAAAGGGAGAAAAAACATAGAGCAGAGAAACCGAATCAAAAACTCTCGAACAGAGAACATGTAATTTTAATTTCCTTAGCTTAGACTTAAACACTTTTCTTTCAGTAACTCGTGTGCTTGCGCCCCTTGGAGGCACATTGTTTTTAATTTCCAATTGCAAAATCATCGCCAATAAAAGAACACCCCTTTTTGGGACTTTGTTTCAAGAGGTTTGTCACTTACACAATCGTCTGATCCCTTTTAATTGTTAGCGACTAACCCGCGCGAAACAATTTGGCACGCCCGATGGGACAGTGGTGTTTGGTGTTGAAAGTACAAAAGGTGAAACAATATATCTCAGAGATCTGATAAGGAAGCAGCAAGTCAGGGAGGAATCCAGTTTGTGATCGAGCGATATGAGGAGCAGCATGCCTCTCCACGAACAGATGGACAGAACCAGAGCAGTAACAGTCGTTACGAACCAATGACGGAGTTGAGTCCTCGAACCATGTGTGCATTACTTGGAGAACTCACACAAGACGTTGTTGAACAGGTAAATTTTCGAAGTATTCATAATATGGAAAGATTTACTCAAAATGGGAATGCACACTGTAACAATATGGCCAAACAACTAAATACTTTGAACGAAACAATGAATAAGTTAGTAGGCCAAATATGTCAACCGGTTACACCTCTTGCAAATCACTTTCAAACTAGGATAATTGTGGGACATAATCCCTCAGTCCTAAATCCGAGTCAAGGGATAGAACCACTTTCTGGTCCCTCTACTTCAAACCAAGGGGGTACTGCAATGCCAAATCAGAACAATGGTAGTGGTACGCCCAACTTGGGGGTAATTTAAACATAAGAGATAATGTCTTAAACAATGGACAGCACACCCCACGTGCTAATGAGGGAATAGATGTTCAGGCTAATGGTAATGGCCCTAATTATGGTAATTTTGTTGCCAATCAAGGACCAAACATCAGGCCTCATGCAAATCAACCGGTTAATCAGCCTGTAGGAATTCCATATGATCCCAACGTCATGTTGAGAAATCAGATTATGGAAATCGTACAGGATCAGATGACTTTTGGGGTGCGTCCCGTCATTAGGTCGACGTACACAAAGCCATATCCTGATTGGGTAGACCAAGCATATCCATGGCCTAGAGGCTACAAAGTGCTAGAATTCTCACTGTTTACCGGTCTAGGAGAGATGTCTACTCTAGAACACATAGGGCGATTCACATTGCAAAGTGGTGATGTAACCGATTACCATAAAATGAGGTTTTTTCCTAGTTCGTTAACAGGAGTAGCTTTCTCCTGGTTCATCAACTTGCCAGCGAACTCTGTTCAAACATGGCAACAATTGGAACAGTTATTTCACGCTCAGTTTTATAAAACTGAGTCTGAAGTCACTTTGACTGATTTGGCGAATCTACATCAAATGTCAAACGAATGGGCAGAAAGTTTTCTTCAAAGGTTCAAGATAGCAAGAAGCAAGTGTTTTGTATCTCTACCCGAAAAAGAATTTGTCAAAATTGCTCAAGGCTGCTTGAGCTTTGATTTAAAGAAGAAATTTCAAGACAAGGAATTTCCTGACCTTTTCCAGTTGAGTGCGAATGTGATTAGGTATGAACGACTGATAAGAGAGGAAGAACAGATGAAAAATTCTAGTAAATGGACTTATTACAAAGACCCAAATTTTGATGTTCATACCATCAGTGACAAGTCATACGACCAGGCCGAAATGTGTTTGGCCGAATTGGTCAAAGGAGATACATATACTTGTCCCATAATGGCCAAGCCTAGACCATCGGGCAAAGATGAGCCCATAAAAGATGGAAACATAAAGGCTAGAACGTTCTCGTTCGACGTAATCAAAGTTAACCTTATATTTGATAAATTATATAGAGACAAGCAGATAAAGTTGAGCGATAAGCACAAATTGCCAAACCCTGAACAAATTAAGGGTAAAAAATATTGTAATTGGCATAACGCATGATCACATTTGACTAATAATTGTTTGGTTTTCCGCCATGTATTGCAGGATGCCATTGAATCAGGACGAATTACGTTCGATCATAAGAAGAAGATGGCAGTGGACGAAAATCCTTTCCCACAGCCACTTGGAGTAAACATGGTGACATCTGGATTCAAAAACAAGTTGCCAAAATTCAAGTTGGTCATAGATGATGGAGAAGAGGATCCTAAACCACATCCCAGCGTCTTTGAACGAATCAAGGGGAAAGAACCAAAAAAGGACGAAGACGTCCTGTGTGCAAGGTGTAAAAGAGAAGTGAATGAAAATACGGAGAAATCAGGAACATGGCAGCATCCTCATCGCTCTACCTTCTTCCCAAACACTCAGCCTGGTAGAGGGCGAGGTACATCATTCTATAGAGAACCGCCTTTTGAGAGGCAGTTCAGGCCAGCAGATAATGGAAGAACATTCATTCCGCAACCTCGCCGGCCAAACGTATGGTATTCATTCCAATACAATGCAGGAAGGGCAATACCCTTCGATGAGATGACCAGGACCCAACAAAGGCGTTTCCAACGAAACTACGGATGGATGAATTCAACAAATTCGGTACGTTGCCTCCTGTCATGGCCAGTAATTACCTACTGGCCAATGAATTCAAGAATAAAGAAAAAGAAGAAGAGAGGGAGGACAATGAAGGAGAAGCTTGCGTGCTGGTATGCGAAGAAGGCCAGACTTCTAGAGAGGCCTACAACGATGAAAAGGACGATGGGATGACAGACATTGAAGAAGAAATCGACTTAGAAGTAGAAAGGAGAAAGAGAGGAGTATCGCGCAATACTCTGTTGAAGCAACTACATCGAGAGGGAGTTCGCGAAGTAGATTTGTTGGGAGAACCATCTGGGCGTCCTTTCGATTTCTACGTACTGTACAGGACACCCAAAAGGAAGAAGAGAGTGCCTCGCTCTGAAAAGTATGGATCACCTCCAAGAATAATGACCCCTCCCACAGGTTGGATAACTGATGAGGAAGCATTAGAAAAAAGTAGGAAGGAAGTTCAGGAGACAGAAGATCAGCGTGATATACAGCACGTCGACTTATCACAGGGGGATAATTCGACAGAAAACAAGCAGGAAGTAGAAATAGAGGCTGCCGAAAAGGTTATTTTTAAACGGTCAGCCATAAAATTGACTAAACACTTGAGGCCATTATACGTTAAAACTCTAGTTAACGGCGTCCCAGTGGAAAAAGTGCTTGTCGACAATGGAGCAGCTATAAACACCATTCCATCTAGGATGATGAGGAAGTTCGCAAAGACAGAGGGTGACATGATTCCTACAGAAGTCATCCTCACTAGCTTCAATGGAGGAGCAACTTCAGCTAAGGGAGTTATGCCATTAGACATAACTATAGGGACGACTACTAGGACCACTATCTTCTTTGTAATAGATGGTCCTACTAGTTACAATGTGCTACTAGGAAGAGATTGGATATACGGAAGTCGCTGTATACCCTCATCGCTCCATCAATGCCTGATCTTTTGGAATAACAAAGGCGAAGCAGAGGTGGTACAGGCCGATCATAGGCCTTTCATCGCAGAAGCAAATTCGGTGGAAAAGTTCATGTACGAAGAAAACTATGGACCTGTCAGGGTAATATAAGACGGGGAAGAAACTCAAGTTGTCACGCAAAGCGAAGAACCATT